GTTGATTGTGGATCTAAAAAAAATTAAGTCTTTGACAACTTTAATCTTTTCTCCATTTATCATGATGGTGTGATCCATAGTGAAGACTGTGGTTTTTGATCTTCATCAGTAAGTATTTTAAGTCTTTCAATTTCAGCAAGCAAGGTTGTATCATCTGCATATCAGAGGTTGTTAATGAGTCTTCTTCCAATCCTGATGCCACACTTTTCTTCATATAATCCAACTGCTCCAATTATTTGCTCAGCATACAGATAGAATAATAAATTGGAAGGATACAACCATGGCACACATCTTTCCTGATTTGAAATCACTCAGTATTCCCTTGTTCTGTTCAAACCCTTTTAGTCTATGTACAGATTCCTCATGAGCATAATTAAGTGTTTTGGAATACCCATTCTTCCCAATGTTATCCATAGCTTGTCATGTTCCACACAGTTGAAAGCCGTTGCACAGTCAATAAAGCACAGGTAAACATCTTTCTGGTATTCTCTGCTGTCTGCAATGATATCCCTAATTTCATGTCTTCTTCTGAATCTAACTTGAATTTCAGACAGTCCCCTGTCAATGTACCTTTGCAGACATTTTTAATTTATCTTCAAAATTTTACTTGCTCGTGAGATTAATTATATTGTTCACACCCTCTAGTACTCAACAATTCTTTTACCACTCTTGGACCACCAAACACCTTGTCACTCTTCCTTGTCCACCTTATGTCTCATCTCTCTCCTTACTTGAAACCCAATAGATAGTCCTATACTCTGAACCCTCCTATTTCACTCCCACTTGCCTGGAAAAATCCTTAACTCAGTTAAATCCATCTCTCTGTCTTGTTATACCTGCAGCCATACAAATGAATACAGCTGGAGAAAAATACACAGTAAGTCTGACTGCTCGTGTTATAAATTCAAGACCATCATCTTTAGTGCATCCTTCATGCTTCCAGGAATCCTGCTACAGTCCCCTAATACATTGTTTCTCTTGCTCCCTTAGACTTCTATTTATGCCTTTTTTTCCCATCCTCAGACATCCAACATCTACCTCCTCATCACCACCGCCATCCTCACACTCAGCCAAAACCCTGTTCCCTCTTTTAACGAGAAGAGAATGTTCTTAGTTCCCACCATTGCATCTGCCCACCTGGCAGTAGCACCTGTTCATGTCCACAGCTGTCCCTCCCATGACTGTGAGCCAGCTGCCCAGGTCCCCTCTGTGCACTAGATCCTAAATGCTCTCACACTTAAAAGATGCCACTCCAGCAATTATTCCCTCTTTCCTACAAAATAACACATTACATGCTGTTATTTCATTTTACAACAGACAATTTATGTCCACTGTCTCTACTTCTCTTCTAATTCTCTCTTGAACCTGTTCTCCTCACATCATCAGTGGTCTCCATATTGTTTCACCCGGGGTTACTCAGTTCTCCTCTTATTTAACCAATCACTCAAGGAGAAGGACCACATCCTTCTCCTTAAGATTTTAATTTGGCTTTTATCAGAACACTGCACTCCTGATTTTTATTGTGAATTATATGATAGTTTACATGGGAGAACTTTAGTTTTACATTCATTCCATCGTATATCATCTCATTGCCATGGTTCCAATCCCCTCCATGCATCATCAACCACCCAAAGGTTATATCCCAGAAACCTGCCCCCTACACTTCCCCCTCCTCCCCCCAGTTTTCAGCCCACAGTCCCTTTCCCTCTCTAGGTCCAAAGTCCCCAGTCGCTTCATCACTCTGCGTCATCATCTCTGTCTCCATCTCAGGCATCTCTGTTTCTCTGGGTAGGTCCCGCTCTCGGCTCTTCTCCGTTGATGGTCCCAGAGGCCTCCGCTCCTATCCTGGAGAATTAATCACCAACCTCTATAGTTTGGAATACTCCGAGACTCAGATCCTATGCCTTCAAGTGCCATCCATGTGCTGGTGATGCCAGATTTAGGTACCTAGTCTGCTTCTCGCTTTCAACTGAAGACTCAAATTCAGCTGCCTGTTTTCTGTCTCCACTTGGAACTCATATTTAAAAGGTCCAGCACTGAACTTCTGATCCTCTCTTCACCTGCACTTCCCATTCTCTTTCCCATCCAATTAACAGCAACTCCATTTTCCAGGTGCTCAAGGCAGGACATCTCAGTGTACAACCCCCTCCTCAGAAGAAGTCCTGGTGTAGCACTGTAGGATAAGCACTGGACTGCAAGGTCATTTGAACCGAAAGGTCGGTGGTTCAAACTCACCAGCCACTCCTTGGAAATCCAATCCCAGGTTGCTATGACTCAGAACAGAGTCAATGGTACTTAACAACAACAAGCCAGAAACTTTAGAAGCCTCCTGACACGCCATCCAATCTGTCAAGAAATCTTGTTGAGTCCACCTTTAAAATGTTTGCAGAATCTGACCACATTCCAGCTCCTCTGCTGCTTCCATCCTGGTTCAGGCTAGCCTTGCCTCCTTCTTGGATGACTACAATTTCCTCTTCACTGAACTCTCTGCTTTGACTTGTCTGTTTACTCCCCCATCTATCTTCAGTGTTGTTGTTGTTGTTGTTGATAGGTGCTATCGAGTTGGTTCCACCTCATAGTGACCCTGTGTACAAACAACCCTGCCCAGTCCGGTACTGTCCTCACAATCAGTGCTATGCTTGAGACCGTTGTTGCAGCCTCTGTGTTAATTCATTTTATTTAGGGTCTTCCTTTTTTTGTTGACCCTGTACTTTACCAAGTATGATATCCTTCTTCAGGCATTGGTCCCTCCTGATAACAGGTCCAAATTATGTAAGATGACGTCTTGTCATCCTCCCTTCTAAGGAGCATTCCGACACAGATTTGTTCATGCGTCTAGCCATCCATGATATATTCAGTGTTGTTTACCAGCACCCTGGTTCAAAAGCAGCACTTCATCTTTCCTCTTCCTTTTTCATTGACAAGCTTTCACATGTATAGGAGGTGATTGAAAATATCATCAGCCACACTATAGTCCTCAATGTGACGTCTTTATTCTTTAATACTTTACAGAGGTCTTTTGAGCAGATTTGCCCAATATAATATATCATTTGATTTCCTGGCTGCTGCTTCCATGGGCATTCATTATGGATTCAAGTAAAATGAAATCTTTGTCAGCTTCAATATCGTCTCTGTTTATCATGATGTATTTTATTGGTCCAGTTGTGAGGATTTTTGTTTTCTTTATCTTGAGGTGTAATCCATGCTGAAAGCTGTAGTCTTTGATTTTCATCTGTATGTGATTCAAGTCCCCTTTACTTTCAGTAAGCAAAGTTGTGCTCACTCAGTCACACTGGCCTGTCTTCTCTTCCTCAAAATATCTTAGCTAGACTTGCACTTCGGGGCCTGTTTCTCTGCCTGAAATGTACTTTCCTCCATAATTGGCTTGCTTTCACTCTTCAAAGCTTTAAGCAAATATCACCTTTTCAGGGAGGCCATTCATAATCACCCTACTCATAGGTTTGACCTTACCCACTTCTCTGCTCTGTTTCTTCCCACTATAGTGAAAGCATCATTGGGTAAATATATATTTGTTTTGTTCACTGATACATTATCATCACTTGTTGAATGAATAAATGAGCCAAATTTTCCTGAATGGGAGTGATGAATTCTAGGGTAAGGTGAGATTTAGAGTTAAAAATGAATGATTTGGGGGCATCAGAACAACCCTGCCACCTCACCCTAACCTTAACCCTAGTTCAGGCAGCTACCAGTCCCCTCTAGTTTTGACCCATGCTTTCTACTTTTAAGGAGCTCTAGAAGAAGCTTTGGTAGCGTAGTGGTTACGAGTCGGGCTGCCAACCTCAAGGTCAGCAGTTTGAAACTACCAGCGGTTCCGCGGGAGAAAGATGAGGCTTTCTGCTCACGTAAAGATTTACAGCCTCAGAAACCCTGTGCAGGGTCCCTATGAGTCAGAACCAGCTCCACGGTACTTACCAACAAGTGGTCCTCTGGAGTCCTGGTGTGGCAGTGTGGGTTAATGCACTGAACTGCAAAATTGTTTGAACCACAAGGTTGGTAGTTCAGACTCACTAGCCGCTCCTAGGAAACCCTATACAGGGTCACTATAGGTCAGAACCAACTCAACAGCACTTTAACAACAACAACAAGTGGTACTGTAGGTTAGGTGCTGGTCTGCTAACCACAAAGTCATCAGTTCAAACCCATCAGCAGCTCTGCGGGGGAAAGATGATTCTGTCTGCTTTCATAAAAATGTACAGGCTCAGAAACCCTATGAGCTGGAATGGACTTGGTGGTAGTGAGTTTGGTTTCATTTTTCTTATCCCACTGTTGGCCATGCCTGAAGAACACAACATGGCTACCAGTGACCTTGAACTCTACATTTGGATCGTTCCAAATTGCTCAAGCTAACTGGATTGGCGTAGGCCCCTGGCAGGTGCTGCTCTCCTTGGTTCCAATGTGAGGTCAGACAGTAGCATTTACTGAGTCATCAGTATGTGCCAGATACTCTTCATCCTTCCTTAATGGTATCTTAGGAGCTATTGCCTGTCCTGGGAACTAGAGAACTGGAGATGTTTGAGATGTTCATCAGTGATCCCCATCTGCATGGGTGGCCCTGTGGCTACAGTTCCCCTAAATACTGAATATTTCAACTCTGTGATCTGACCCACCATTGAGAGTTTTCTTTATTTAGATATAAGAAAAGCTTAACAAAGGTAGGCATAGGAAGACCCATTTGGAGATGTGTGTTCTACAAATGTTTTCTGAAAGGGATCAAGTGGTACAATAAGAACTATCCCAGGGTGCCTAAGCTCTGAGAGGTCATAATGCCCCTAGGCTGGAGGAACACATTCTCTTTCAGGATAGGGTTGTGTGCCATCTCCTGGGTTGTGCCTTCCTTCTTTGGCCAAGCATCCATTAGCCTGACAATTGGACACAGGGTAGGATGGGGATCCAGATCCTGCCCAGCTGCTACACTCAAGTGACTTTCTTTTACCTCCCCAGCAGAGTGACGGTGAGCCCTCATGTCAAACCCGGAGATGCCTCTGTTCACCAAGGAACCTTCTAGAACACCTGTCTTGGCAGGTGACCTCAATGTGGTGGAGAGGGCACAGAACTTATCAGTTAGTGACTGCTTCCAGTCCAGGAATACTGTCCTCCAAGGGCAGCCTTTTGGGGGTATCCCCACTGTACTGTTACTCAATATCTTCTTGTGGTTGGTAAGTCCTGGGAACTGTGGTGGGCAGACGTAGGTCTCAGCTCAGGTCATGGTCATATTTTCACAAGTGATATATATATAGCAGACACTCCAGTTGTCCATTTGGATGCCAGCAAACCAGTAAAAGACCAGTCCCGCCCTGGACTACCCAAGTGGAAGTGAGGGCTGGAGGGATGGTCAGAATTTCTGGGATTCCCTTTTATGTATCATTATTGAAAGGTCAATCTATCCAACGCCCTTGAGCTTGCTTCTGTCTCTCCTAGCTGATGTCTTCAAGGGGAGTTCTTGTCCAATAGCTCTAAACATGCCACCAGCTCCTTCATTCAACAAACTTGATCATCTACTTTACCAGGAAGCTCTGGACACTATAGAAAGTCACAAAGGGCATGGTCCATACCCAGTATGCCCCCATCTGGTGGAAGAACCCCAGAGGTCCCCTGGGAGCCTGGAAGGCAGGGCCTCTCTGACGGGAGTGCAGAGGGGCAGCGGAGAAAGGCATTTCTGAACTCCCCACTCTGTATCATTTTTCCTAATCTGTAGGTCATCATTATACTTTATTCCTTCCTCCGGAAAGCTGCGTGGGACTATGGGCGCCTGGCTCTACTGATACACAATGACAGGTTAGGAGGGGCTGGGAGACTGGGCTGGGCAAGCTGCTTCCTGAGAGGAACATGCTGTTATCGCCACACCCAAGGCATGGCCCACTAGTGCCCAAGCAAACGATGAGCCGATGTCTCATCAGCAGGTGGCATCTCATTGTCCATCCCCACCCCCAGTTCTGCCTCTCCCTGCAGGAAGGGGACTTGGAGGGCACAAGGTCATTTTCTTCTCCAGTCTCAGACTTTGTGATTCCAGAACTGGACTCCTGAGTTGTACTATCTTCCTGGCAAGGGGAGTCATGGCTGGCGTGCCCAGAGCTGTGTGCTCAGCTAGCGAGCTGAGGCATTGAGCCTGCCCCTGAGAAGAGAGCAGGGCAAGCACCTGAGACCTTGTCTCTCCTTTTCCACCTCTCTGCCACCGTTTCTGGCTGGCAGCCTGACCTCGCTGATCTACGGGGAGCAGAGCGAGAAGACTTCTCCTTCGGAGATTTCTCTGGAGATGGAACGCAGGGACAAGGTGAGTGCGGGGAGCAGGCATGGACCCTCGGGAGTCCTGCTGCAAACAAGCAGCCTTGGTATGCCCCAAAAAAGAAGCCTGGCAATCAGTCTCTCTCAACCACTTCCGGCAATGTGATCTTAAACAAATTACTCAGCCCTGCCAAGCTTCAGTTTCCTGACCTGGGAAAGGGAGGTGTTAACAATAGCTACCTCATAGTGTGCAAAGTGGAGTCCTGGTTTCGTAGTAAGTTAGGCATTGGGTTGCTGGCTGCAAGGTAAATAGTTCAAACCCACCAGTCATTCTGTGGGAAAAGAGTTTCAGTCTGGGGACCCCTATAGAGCAGTTCAACTCTTGTCATATAGGGTTGCTGTGAGAATTGAGGGTACCTAGTAAGTGTTAGCTAATTATTGGATTTTTGGATTGGTGCTGTAGGCTCTGCACTGGATTGCAAACTGCAAAGCCAGCAGTTCAAACCCAGCTCCTTGGAAACCCTACACTGGGTTACTATGAGTTGGAACTGTCTCATCGGCTGGCACTTAATAACAACAGTTGGATTTTTTTAAATGGAATTTTTCACTCTCCTCTAACTCTCTCTCTGGCCAAGGATTCACCTTGTCCTTCACATAGAAGTGCCGTGGGGCAGGGACCCGCTCATCCTCCTGATGCTGATGCCTGGCCTGTCTTCTCACACTCTCTTCTGCCCTCTTGTTCAAGGCCCAACCTTCCCTGTGAGCCACTGATTCACCCAGCTGTTGGCGGAAGCGCCTTCAGTGTCCAGACACTGATCAGGAGACTGGGCATTGGGCAGTGAGAAAACTCACCACCTCCTGTCCTGAGAGCTTTTGTCCAGGGTAGGGAAGCAACCCACCTGGCGCACGTGGGAAGCATGACAAGTATATGGAGAAAAAAGGCCTAAGAGAGACCCTCAACAGCAAGGGAAGACGCCGAGCTTAAGATGGCAACTGAGCATTTGTCAGAGAACAGTGAAAGGAGGGAGGAACGATCTTGTCCGCCCCCCCACTCCAAACCACGGACCCCCACCCTGGCGAGTTCGGTCTCCCCGGCTTGTCACAGTTAAACTCCTGAAGGAGGTGTCTATTCATTCTTATTGCTTCACCTCTCTCCACTCTTCATTGCACCCTAACTTGGATCTGCCCCTTTGGTTCCACCCACCAAGTGGCTCCACTTCACCATATGACTCCACCCCACCCCATGTGACTCTACCCGTAACCCATGGTTCCACCCCAACCTGCAGTTCCACCCCACCCCAGTAGCTCCTCCCACACCCCAGTGGCTCCACTCTACCCTGTGGCTCCACCCACCCAGGGCTTCACCACACTCCCTGTGGGCTCTACCTACACCCATAGCTCTATCCACACCTTGTGGCGGCTCCACCTACACCCCATGGCTGCAACCAACCCCATGATTCCACCTTCCCTATGGCTCCTCCCACACCCTCGTGGCTCCACCCAGACATTGATTGGCTTTTGTCTTACTGGACACGTGTAGCCCTGTAGACCATCTTTTACAGTGCTTACAGTTACTCTGTGGGTTCCTTCCACCCTGAGTTTGGCTTCTGCCCCTCTGTTCCTTAGTCTTCTTTACAGCACCCTCCTTCCACCTTTAGTCACCATGGCTCAGTCCTAAACCGCCCTCTCCTCTGGGCTCCCTTCCTCTTGTCATCCACACTCACAGCTTCAATTTCCATCTCTACACTGTTGTGTGCTGTTGAGGCGGTTCCGATTCATACTGACCCAGTGCATAGGGTTTCCTAGGCTGTAATTCTATACAGGAGCAGAAAACCATGTCCTTCTCCAGAGGACTGGCTGGTTTGGTTAGTAACACAATGCGTCATCCACCAGGGCCCGTCTCTACACTGATGTCCCTAAATTTCTACCTCCAGTTTCCTCTTTGAACTGCAAGGTTGGCGGTTCAAGCTCACCAGCTGCTCCTTGGAAACCCTATCCAGTGTCGCTATGGGTTGGAACCGACTCGATGGCACTTAACAACAACAAGCTTCCTCTAAGCTCCAGTTCCATTTATCCCCAAACCTTCAAAATACCTCCCCATGGGTCTTGTAAAGGCATTTCAGATTCAGCGTGGTCAAAACGTGCGATGATGCCCTTCTGCCCCATCTACGTCTATCTCTCGTGTCTCAGATTCCCCATCCCCCATTTACCCCAGCACATCTCCCACACTCTTTTTTTTTCCATAAGTTTTTATTGTGAATTGAGTGAAAGTTTACAGGGCAGTTCATCAGTTTTACATTCAACAAATTATACACCTTGTTTCATTACACTGATTATAATCCCCTCCATGGACCATCAGTTAACAGTGTTTCTCTCTATCCACTTTAGTTCGTTTTTGGGTTTGGGTTGTTATTTTTTTAACACTCAGGCATATATAACAATTTACATCACCAAAGGGCACATTCTGAAAGCCTGCCTCCTGGCCGCCAGCTCTCAGTCCCTATCTTTCCATGAATCTAGAGTCCTCAGCTGCTCCCTCTCTCCATGTCCTCATCTCTGCCTCCATCTCTGATGTCACTGCTTCTCTAGATAAGGTCCCACATTCCGCTTGTGCTCTTCTCACTTGATGGTCCTAGGGTCCTCTGTTTCTGGACTGTAAGATTAACTACCCCCCTCCCCATTTTTGTTACAAAACTTCTACCTTTACAGTTGTGACAGTCACAATTAGTCATGATAACAATTACTCACTTTTGAATCTTAAGAATCTTATCCCCATCTCTTTTTACCAGACCTATCTAGGCAAGATGAAAACTATTCAGTGGGGACTCTATCTCCCCTCACACACTCTCAAACTGAACTCCTTGAAACCTTGTAAGCCAGTCACTTCATGCCATTATTGCCCCCTCATTTTAGGTAGCCAATGTCTAAGTGCCTGTCCCTACCTACCCTGTGTACAGAGCAGATAGCATTGATACTTGATGTGAAGACTCCTTCCCTCTCTGTTGGTATTTAGAGATACTACCTCCATGAGTATAGGTCAAGTTCATCAAATTGTAGCAATTTTCCCTCGTTTCCTTTATCAAAAATTATTTCTTTGTTTTTTATCTTCCTCTAGTCGAGTTCTGATTATCATCAAGCCATGAGACTAGGTCAAATGGGTACTATCTGCAACTTTGGGTGTTCTTGTGTGTCTCCCCTCACCTCATATCTGCTATATGCTTCACTCTCAGCTCTAGCCCTCTGTGGCTATGTCCTTGTCCATGGGCTCAGGTGTCCCCAGGTCTCACCACTTTGGACCAACCAGCCCTTCTTTCTTCTCTCTCTCATCTCCAGGTCAACGGGAGTCTATGGAACATGGTTGAATTCCGTCCATTTCTTCATTGCTGCCTTTCCCCCTCTTCCACTCATCAGCAGACCAATGTGGTTGTCAGCAAGCTTACATGCCTGCTCATGTGTTCCCTTTGCATTTCAGTCTTAGAGGGGGACTTACCGAGCCTCGGAGCATTGCCAGCCCATCAAGTTCTGTTACCTTTACTATTCTAGTTTTCTTTCTCCATCCCCCACCCCCACTTTCCCCTGGCTCAGACCTCTGTCTGTCAGCCTCTTATTTGGATGGCTGAAATGACCTCTAACTGACCTCATGTCCACACCTCTCCTTACCCCATCCATTTCCACCCTGTACCTAGAGCAAACCTCATAGTTTAGTACTCCTCATTCCCTTACATCAGAGGTGGAGACCATTCAGCCCACGAAATCATTTGGTCTGGCCCTGCCAAAGTAACCGCAGTTCCAGCCATCACATTCTTGTTAAGTGTCATCAAGTGAGTTCCAACTCACAGCAAACCAGTATAACATCTCCAAGGAGCAGCTGGTGAGCTTGAGCTGCTGATATTGTGGTTCAAATGACTTTGCAGTCCAGCGCATTAGCCCACAGCACCACACCAGGCCATCGTGTTAGGAGTTGTGGTGTTTATGTGCCATGGAGTCAGTTCCAACTCATAGCGACCCTTTGTAGAGTTTCCAACGCTGTAAATCTTTATGGAAGTAGAAAGCCTCATTTTTCTCCTATGGAGCAGCTGGTGGTTTCAAACTGCTAATCCACCTCTTAACCACTACGATACCAGAGCTCCTCCTCACATTAGGGTGAAGCTAATTTATAAATTGATAATTTTATATGGCCCGTGAAGGGTTTTATAAATGTTGGCAGAAAAATGTTGCCCATCCCTGCCTTACATGAATCCTCAATGACTTGCTAATGCTCTTGGAAATAAATTGTAGATTCCTCAGCAATGCCTGGCGCTCTGACCTCTTGTCCCGCGGCATCTCCTTCCTGCCGCCATCCTCATTGGCCAGCTTTTGGATTCCCCCAGCGCCACCTCCTTCACACCACAGGACCCATCCTGTCTCCTCTCATCCTTCTCCAGTGACCCTTCTCCGAGTGAACGCATCCACCTTTTCTTCATATTTCAGCTCAAATACCACTTTACCAGGAAGCCCTGACCACCCCATCTAGGCCCATGTTCTATGCTCATGGAAAGCTCGCTCCATTTCTTCAAAGTTCTGGATTCAGCCTGGATGCTTCCTTTGCTACATGATTAGTCTAGTAAAGTGTGTTTCCCCCAGCAAGAGCAGGCATTGGCCTTGATTTGACTCATCATTGTAACCCCACACCTAGCTTCATCTGCTAAATCCTGGGTGGATGAGTGATCCCAACCACGTTCCTTCTGTTGTGAGTTCCTCAAGAGCTCAGGGTCGGCCTGTACAGAGGGAGAAGGCTCAGACGGGTTACTCAATCTCTTGGAGACTTCATTGGTAGAATGAGGACAGTAACACCTACTTTGCAAGGTTGTTCTCAGCTTTATTTTTAGAAACATCACTTTTTTTTAGACAATGACACAATGGTTATTTTACTTTTTAAATGTTTGAGGAGATAAATCATTCTGGCAGCAATTGGGAGGCCCATCTGAAGAGCGGAGAACTTAGGTGAGCCGAGAGTGAATGAGGTGCCCTGCAGTGGTCCTTCCAGGCCTGTGGGCAGCCAGAGGGTCTCACCACAGCAAGCCAAGGCAGGATCACTGCCCCCACGTGGCAGACAGGGGAGAGAGAGGGACCTCTGTCAATGTGGTGGTGTCGCCTGAGCTGTCTCCTGGGAATCTGTGACCATTTCCTGCAGGGCCAGGGAGAAGACTGGAGGTATCTGCCTCTCAGACCTGCTGCTCATTTTGTTAAGTTTTTTTAATGGTTTGTGCCTTTCAGAGCTATGGCGTATACTGTGTATGTGTACATGTGTGTGTGCACAAGAGCGAGAGAAAGCACATCTCTGTCTATGCACTTTTCATGGGAACATAGGCCACACTTCACTCACAACCTCTGCCCTTTTCATGGATCAAACATTTATATAAAAAGCCATGTGCCTGGGCTCCTGTCCTACACACATTTCAGCGTGGGTCCATCCTGGTGTGTGGCATGCACCTGCTCACCTGTCTGAGAAGGAGGAAGAGGAAATTCAACTGCATGATGTGTTCTCAACTGACCATGACCGTGAGGATACCTTCTTGCTCCTTTAATAACACACCCCCTTTTGTCCAGAAACGCTCCACAAAAGGACCCCAGCTCTTGTTAGAGACGTTTCCCTTCCCTCAATGGATGCTGCTACACCATGCTCGTCCCCTTCCTTCCTCTGTCCTTACTTCAGTTCCTTGGGTCTAGCTAGGAGATGATCTCCCGGAAGTGAGTGACCATTCCCACTGTTAGACCCCCACACATGGTGAAGGGACTTAGAAGGTAAGACTTAAATACTGAAGAGGGTGAGGACATTCCTTATCTTGCTTTCTGTTGGCTGATTTTGGAAATGCCCCTTCCCCAGTTCCTGCAGTTCCACAGGGGACTGGCCATCAAGTGGCCTGACCCTGACTCATCAGGGCCAAATGGGGCCAATCAAGGGCTTTCAACCTTTTCATAATTTTGCTTAATCGTGGAGATCCCAGAAGGGAACGTGTGCAGGGGTAATTTAACCAGGTCTGACAGCTTCTAGAGCCCACAGTCCTGCCCATCCTCATGCAAAACTTTCCTAAGCTGACTCTCAGCGGTCACCGGTCACCTCCCCACCCCCAGCTGCCCCAGAAACTCCAGAGCTTTCATTGGCCAATTTTTCAGAAGCAGATCACCAGACTTTTCTTCCAGCATATCTCTGGGTGGATTTGAGCCGCCAACCTCTTAGTTAGCAGTCAAGCATGTTAGCCATTTGCACCACCCAGGAACTCCAATTTGTGGTTTAACTGTGAGGAAATCCAAGAAAGGGGGTGTTTCAGGTACAACTAGCTAGGTCCAAGAAGTCCATAAATACTACCAGAATCCTCCTCTCTAGTCCTCTGCCCTCTGATCAAGACAGGTTCTGTGCACAGGGCACCAAAGATGGCCCTAAGTCAATCCAGGCTTCATGTGTTCACTGAGGAGCCAGAACTCCAAGGGAGAGTCTTTCTCACTCTCTCAACACCCATATCAATTCCCTTAAGAGAACTATGATTGGATCTTGTTTCTGTTGGCCAGCTGGTTACATGAGGGGCAGCCCACCAGATCACATGCATCACAAGGGGGCATTTCCCAAAAGGTACTGACCAAAAAGCAACAGATGTCCACTCCAGAAGGAGGCCCTTCGCTTCCTACAGTCCTACGTCAAAGGCCTGTTTTCAGAACACCCACTGACAAGAGCGACATCTCTCAGCTGCTGTTGCTGCTACCGTCCTATGCCGCTTCCTCCCTGGACCAGGCACTTTCCCTCCACCGGACACCTGGAAAGGAGGCCCCTCTGGACACTGCTGGAATGACTGAGCTGGGCTGGATTTTCTCACCATTTCTCTTTTTTTCCCCAGGGTTTTTGCTCCTGGTTCTTCAACAGCATAACCATGAAGTAAGTGTCTGAGCTTTTAGAGCTTATGATGGTGTGGCTTTTGGGGGTGAGGGGACGTCCTCCTGCCAGAGGTCTCTGGTGGCACAACAGTTAAGCACTTGGCTGCTCACTGAAAGAATGGTGGTTCAAACCCATCCAGCAGTTCCAAGGAAGAAAGACCTGGCAGTCTGCTCCCACAAAGACTTGATGTTGTTGTTGTTAGGTGCCCTCAAGTCAGTACAAACAGAACGACACACTGCCTGATTCTGGGCCAACCTCACTACAGGTGCCATTCTTGAGGTCATCAATGCTGCCACTTGGCCATTCCATCTCATTGGGGGTCTTCCTCTTTTTCTCTGACCCTCCACCTTATCAAACATGATATCCTTCTCCAGCAACTGGTCCCTCCTGACAATATGTCCAAAGTATGAGAGATGAA